AGGTTATGTTATATACTATCAAATGAAAAAAAAAAATTTGTCCCGACATCTTATCTTCTATGTGCAAATGGCTGTCGAAAATTTAAAAAAAAATGTAATGTTTGCGATAAAAATTACATTTTATCGGGATGTTTTTTGTACTTAAAACTGCCATAACTTTTTCAAAAATGAACAAATAAAAATAATATTTTTTTGTATTGAAACCTTAGATATTTCCCTTTCATTTGATATAATTTTTTTTGAAAATCTAACACTTATTCTGCTCACTGGGAGGATTTAAAATAGCAACTTTTTTACAAAAAATAACTTTTTCAACTTAATTTTTGAAAATGTTCCGGAAATACTGCGTCCTTTAAACATATATCAAATTAAAGCTTATTTTATGTACTACAAAATGAAAAAAAAAAATTTGTCCCGACACTTTTTTTTCTACATTTAAACGGCTGCCGTAGTTAAAAAAACACTATTTTTGTGTTAAAATTTTCGATTTTCGATTTTAAATTTTCAACTTAAAAATGCTATAACTTTTTGAAAAATGTATATATCAGCACAAATTTTTTTTTTCTAAATACATTATAAGTACATCTTTCATTTGACATACTTTTTATTAAAATTGGACAATTTCCCCTTATATAGGGGGCGTTCAAAACTTAAAATATTGTAAAAAACATAGATCTTTTTCAACTGAACTTTTGAAAATGTTCCAGAAATACTGCGTCCTTTAAACATACATTAAATCAAAGGTTATGTTATATACTATCAAATGGAAAAAAAAAATTTGTCCCGACATCTTATCTTCTATGTGTAAATGGCTGTCGAAAATTAAAAAAAAATGTAATGTTTGCTATAAAAGGTGATTACCNTTTAAAAAAAAATGTAATGTTTGCGATAAAAATTACCTTTTATCGGGATGTTTTTTGTACTTAAAACTGCCATAACATTTTCAAAAATGAACAAATAAAAATAATATTTTTTTGTATTGAAACCTTAGATATTTCCCTTTCACTTGATATAATTATTTTTGAAAATCTTACACTTATTCTGCTTACTGGGGGGATTTAAAATAGTAACTTTTTTACAAAAAATAACTTTTTCAACTTAATTTTTGAAAATGTTCCGGAAATACTGCGTCCTTTAAACATATATCAAATTAAAGCTTATTTTATGTAATATAAAATGAAAAAAAAAATTTGTCCCGACTACCTATCTTCTATGCGCAAATAGCTACCGTATTTAAAAATATGCTATTATTGTGTTAAAATTCTTGGTTTTGTATTTTATTTTATTATAAGGGGATGACACTGATTTTCATAAATATTATATCAATCTAAATGACATAGTATAAAAAATTAATCGTATTTAAATTTTTTTGTTTCTTTGAAGTTGAGAAAAATAACTTTAAAATTTGAACTAGCTAAATTTCCATTTTTATTAAGTGACGAATAAGACGTACGGTTTTTGAGACGGTAACACTTGGGTCTTTCACGACTGTGGCACTGAATTTTTTAAAATTCTTTTTGAGTTAAAAAAAAATGTTTAACTCATTTGATTTTTATCTCATTTAGATTCAATAACTTCAATTAATTTTAAGGATTCCATTACTGTAGTGTCCTCTCGTGAGAAGAAATTCATATTAATATTATTTTACTATGTGGTTTTTTTTTTGTAGCTATCATTTATTTTCTTAGCTCTCATTTGACCTACTTTATTGACAAATTTTTTTTTTTAAATTAAACACTATCTACAGATTTGCATCGAAGCGTTTTTTATGATAGTGATTTTAATATTTTTTAATAATCCCATTTTCATTTGACATACTTTATATAAATAGGATATTAATAAGGAACTAGCAGATCATGTAGCATTTGGAATAATCCAACAATTTTTTAAAATTAAACACTATCTAAAGATTTGCATCGAAGCGTTTTATTTTGATAGTGATTTTAATCACTGTCAGATATCATTTATACTGGACCCAACTATGCCACGACCCCACTGTGCCGCCACCCCACTGTACTGGGTATTTTTTTTATTAGCTTTCAATAGAATGTATTATTATAGCTTAACAATTAAATAAAAAGAGAAAAAAAAATAGTACAATAGATCTTAAGTCATTGAAATTACAATATAGTTACAGTAAAAATAGTTAAATTAAAAAACCAGCTGAATGAAATGAAAGAATTAACTAAAGAAATTATATCGAGAGAAGTTGAATTAAGAATAGTGTAACAATTACTAGGAGAGATATTATGATGAGATAAATAATTAAATAAAATAGAACGATTTCCTTCAAAAGCATAGCAGTCAAAAATTATATGAGGAAAATCGCAGAGAACTTATTCGTCATGTTTGGGACAGAAAGGAGAATTGTTAAGAGACATTTTGTACGCATGAAAAGGAAGGCGATTATGAACAAGTCTTAGCCGAGAAAAGGATAATATATGGAACTGGGAGAGAGGAAGTTTATGGAACCTAGGGTGATTAAGAATAGTTGGTGAAATTGATTTGTGCCAAGATGCGATAAGAGAGAAAAGAGAAGACCAATATTCTTGCCATGCTTGAAATATCGTCTTATTAAGAGGTGAAATGAGGTCAGATGATGGAATATTGAGAGTTGGAGGACGGGTAATGAATTTAGTAAGTTTGGCTAAATGGTCAGCCTCTCATTACCAAAATTACCCATATGACTAGGACAACATGAGAATTCGATTTTAAATTTTGTATTAGATAAGAAAAGATTATAAATTAATGATTTTATTTTAATAATATGGAAAGATCTGCATTTTTTGAATGAATTAGAAGAGAAAGAAGAAAGGCCTGATAAAGAGTCAGTAATTATTAAAACATTAGAAATATTGAAGGATTGAATAAGCTTAAGGGCCAAAGAAATGGTATAGCACTCAGTAGTAAAAGAACATTGTAAAGGATTGTAAAGGAGAATATCTGAGAATTTAATATTAAGACTAGGAATAAAGAAAAAAAAACCAGCGAAATTAGAGCTTACTGAACCATCAGTAAATATAAGACAATAATTGGAGAAATTAGAGAATAAGAATTCATTGAATAGATTATTAACAAAATTAATAGAGAGGACATTCTAATTGCAGTTTTGAATAAGAAAGAAGTGATAGTTAAAGTGAAGAGGTGGGCAATAAATAATAGCCTAGGAATGAGACATCATAAATAGGCAAGCGATTAAAAGGCGTGATTATAATATTAAGGTACGGAGTCGAAGAGATTGAAGCAAGTAAAGGAAGAGTTTTGGGAGCATAGCGCCAAACTGCCAATAGAGAATGAAAACTATGAAATATCGAGTTGACTGAATAGGATAACTGTTTACTAAGAAATTTTCCAAGCTAGGAGTCGAGAACGAACTTCGATGGGGAGACAAGCGCATTACACTTGTAAACTTATACTTGGGGTAGAGTAAACTGCGCCTAAGACAGTACGTAAACAAGATGTATTTAGAGAATTAAGCTTTTTACGGTGCACGGTGGAGGCAAAGGAATATAGAATAGATCCATAATCTATTTTTGAACGTATAAGAGATTTAAATACAAGAAGAAGGGAAGAGGGGTGTGAGCCCCACTAAGTCCCCGCTATAGAACCTAACATGTTAGACCAACGTGATAAAGTGGAAATCAGGTATTTAAAATGTGGCATCCAACAAAGTTTTTGGTCAAGCTAAGTAACACAATCATACTAGGATAAACTAACATTATCAAGATAAATATTCGGAATTTGAAGAATGTGTTTTCTTGTGGAAAAATAGCTTTGCTTTTTCCGAAGCAGGTTCAAAAAAAGATAACCGAAGAGACGTAGAGAGAGTTTGGAGAGCAATATTAATGTTAGAAGCAGCAATCTCAAGTGATTTATGGGAAGGATAAATGATAATGTCATCGGCGTAAAATAAACTCGAATGATTGTTAGATGATGAAAGAGGATTGCTTATATCGGCAGTATAAATGTTAATAAGAATCGAACTGAGACAACTACCTCGAAGGAGTCCTCTATAAGTGGTTCAATAACAAATAGAGCCAAATGGGGAATTAAAATGACGATAATTAAAAAAAGAAAATATAAATTTACACACCACTATAGGAATATTGAGGGAAAGAAGACGCGAAATAAAAATTAGTTTTAACTTTTTAGTTCGATGTGCTTTAAAAGCGTGTTTCTTAGTTTTTTTAAACTATATTTATTTTTCACTTTTTAGTTTCATGTTATGATAATAGTTACTATCAATATCATGTTTGTAATGGTTAACGGGAAATCAGGGTTCGATTCCGAGGAGGGAGTCTAAGAAACGGCTACCACATCCAAGGAAAGCAGCAGGCGCGTAAATTACCCACTCCCGGAACATGGGGGTATTAACGAAAAATGATGATACGGGAATCATTCTTTGTAATCGGAATGAATACACTCTATATATCTTAATGAGAATAAAGCATGTTAATATATATTTTTAATAGTAATTAGAATATATATATATATACATTTAAAGCGACTTTAGTACGTAAAAGTATCATGCATGAGGTATAGCCTTGTTTTGTGGTCAGGGGAACGTTATACCTAAGGTATAAACGGCGGCACCGGCGGCAGGAATATATAAATATATATATACGTAAGGTGCATTACACGTGGGTGGTATTGGTCAGTCAAAATAAAAATTTGTTTATATATATCTAATTGTTGTCACGCACGCGTGTACTGGTACGAAATCCAAAAATAAAATTTTACAGGAAAATATTGTTGTTGGTGAGAGGTGAGCGGAGTGGGGTGAATGCGTTACGTCTAGTCTCAAGGTCATAGACGACGGGGGATACGCGAGAATAATAACACGTGTCGAGTGAAGAGTTACAAACAACATACATGTAAAACTAATAATAAGCGTGTTAAAAACATATACTATATAAATTTGTTTGAACATTTTTAGCACAATAATATTTTTATTATTAAAATTTAATTTTTAATTTTATAACACAAATGTATATTTTTAGTTTAAAAGAACCATATTTGAATCATTCTTAAATACATTGGAAGTTATTATAATATTTGTTGACATGGCAAGTATAGCTTTGTATTTTCCAAAAAAAACTATATTAAATACGAATAATTTAATATGCAACAACTTCAACATGGATGATTGGATTCAGTCAAATATAAGTGTTGATTTAGATATTTTAACAATTAGAGTAAAAGAAATCACGATAAAAAGTGGAATGAATTGTGAAAATATTACAGACTACTTTAAAAGTTATCCAGCTTCAATAGCTAATACAGAAAACTTAAAAGGTAATATTATTATAATTGTTTTATGTAATATTAATAATTTATTTATTTATTTAAATTTTACAATTCAAGATTTAAAGTTTATTCCGTGGATTTTGAAAATAAACAACTTTGAATGTTTTGTAAAAAATTATAAAACTAATTTATTAAATCCAACAATTAAATTATCAATACTTGATCCATTTAATATATCATGTAATTTAAACGTACAAGAAAAAGATGATATTGTTTTGTTGAAACCTTCTATTGTTAAAGTATTATGTAACTTAGATCCAATACATATTCTTATAACAACACAAAATGTTAGTCAAGTCTATAAGTAATATAATTAATGTAAAATTTATTAAAAACAATCTTAAATTTTCAGGTTAGTCTTATTTGCGATCTACTTGTTCAATGTACACATGTATACTTAACAGTATTTTCCAATATTCAGTATCATTTAATTGTATCTAAATTGGTATGTGGCTATTATGCAAATATTTTAGAAAAAAAATCCTCTATACAAAGTAATAAAATTTAATTTTAATTTTTACTCAAATAAAATGTACTGATTTTTTTTAGTCGAAGACGATGTCAAAATAAAAAAGGATTACACTAGTATCTTTGTTTTAACATTGCAGAGTTTTTCAATAACAATATGGAATAATAGTTCACATCATCCTTATTTTAATACCAAAATACTTTTAACATGTGAAAAAATAAAGTTATCTTGCTCGTTAAATAATAGAAACAATTTTCAAAAATTATTGTTTAAAATAACATCAATATCAATTAATCACTTTAAAAAGTAAGCTCTATAAAATTTATATATTTTTGCTGTTACTAAATTTTTCAAAATTAAATAGAAATTCTACTGAATCTGAATGGATTCAAGGGTCACATTTTGGTACTATTCTAAACGTAGTTCCACCAATAAATTACTCATCAATTCCAAAAGATTTCCTTGAATTCTCTTTAATTCGGGCATTTAGGAACTGTTTGATAGAAGTTTGTTTTTTATGATAATAATTAAAAAATGAATAGAAAAATAATAACGGCAAATATTAATATTTTAAATTAGGATGACGATAATAAAAATGGACTCAATGATAGTTTAAAAAAAACTTCAATTTTTTTATTACCCATTGAATTAATAATATTACCTACAACTTTTTGTAATTTTATAAAGATTATTGATCCTATTTTATGCGTATACGTATACATAATAACTAATTCATTGGGAAAAGATTTCAACGGTGAATTTTGTTTATCTGAAAAAAATTCTGAGCCAAATTCTTTTAATATGGAAATATTCGATGCTGAAATTGGATCTATTAGAATGTTATTTCCGTTTAATTTGGAAGACAATGAAAATATAAATACTGTAGATATACATGTAAATTAAATAAATATTACAAAACAGAGTTATTAATAATTATTTAACGAATATATATCTGTATAAATTAGATTAATTCTATTATTATAAACCATATACCAAATTATCAGATCATGGAAACTAATCGAGGAGAATACAAAATACAAATAAACAGTAATAATAATATATTATTGGATACATTATCTGAGATCCATGGAGATAATCAACATCAAATTATGATAAATGATATTTCTATGAAAATAGACAATTGGAAAAATATTTGTATTCATACGTCGTTAAATTGCGATAAATTCATTGATAATAATTCTCTGGTTTCGCACGCACAAGATAATGATCGATACAAATATAACTTAAAAGACGGGTCAAAATACATATTTAATAATTTTACTGTTTATTTTGTTTTAAAAAGAACAGTTGTCTTTACACCTGAAAACAATTTGATTTACGAAAAAAATTTAGTGGTATGAATATAATAAGTTAAAACATAAAAATATATATAACATACAAATTTTTGTACGTAGTCCTGTAAAGTAGATTCTAGATTTTTTAACAAATCTAATTGATTATTAATAGATTCAATTTATTAACTAAGGGTAGAGCACAATTAAATAAATAATTTTGAAGATTTTCTAATATTTCTACTAAAATTTTTTACTATAAAAATGTATAATATTTTTTGACGTTATATATTGAGAATAGGCTAAACTGCTACAATCTACCACAATTTGTATCTATGACTAAATGGATAGGTAAGAATGATCTAACCTCCCCATTTAGGATTTTTTTATCATACACTGTATTACTAAAAATATACTAGCCGGAATACGAAAATGCGTCTAAAGTTACGCACCCTAATATGTTGATTGTGGATTATCTGTAAGTTATTGTACAATCAATATAATAGAGGAATAGAGCGACCCTTCGGTAGCTAATCAAAGCGTATTATTTACCTACAAAGAAGAGGTTGATTATTCAATTATTAGATGTGAAGAATGGTTCACTCTAGTGTATAGATTATAGTAATCGAACTATATTAAAATAGTGGCGATGGGGTTTATTTAATCAATTGATTACATAAATATATATTATAAATATATATTACACNACATTATCATCATATGTATACACAGTAATCATGAAAAGATAGCGTTTTCTTCTGTCCTTTTCTCAATACGTATTTCAATGTTTAATACCGTAAAATAATACATGAAAATTCAAATTTTCACAAACTTTAAAACGCTACAGAATATTTACTACTGAATATTAATAAGATATTTTTTTACTAAAATTTTTCTTAAATTCTACTCTACAAAATAGCCATCTTAGATTTTTTTTTTACATTTTATTTAAAATTTAAAAATAATTAATATTTTTAATAAAATGTAAAAAAATTAATATTTGAGACGTAGCTATAGACCTAACGTATAACTATTATTTAAAAAAAAAATTAGCTAAAAATATTAACTGGATCAAAAGTTATTTAAGTTGTCAGTGAGTGGTGGGCCACCATGTATAAAGATGTACTCCCTGTTAACTGGGAGGTTTGGGTTGGCGCGTAGTTTCTAACCTTCTGAGAACGTACATGAATAATTTAAACTAATAAGTAAATATTTATTTTGTATATTTTCAGATAAATGTTATAAATGAAATAACTATACAGTTATCTACAGAACAGCTTTCAATTTTACTGGCATTATATTCTCAAATTAATAATTATATAATAAAGAATCGAATACCATTTTATCAAAATTCAAATTTTTTGTTAGATTATTTTAAGACTGAAGATTTTATTTCATCATTAAAGTAACAATTATTTTTTTTTATAATTAATATAAAAAATAAAAATCATCGGCTGGTACAGTGATTTAAAAATATACATACGTCAAAATACACACGTATTGTAATGATAAAACAAGTGAAACTGACTTGGTATATTTAAATTAGCTCCCATTAATTTATGCATTGGATTATATTTCTAAAAAAAATTATTGAATATTCATTATATAATAAATAAAAATCACAATAATTAATAAACTATTACGTTAACTACTTAAATAATATTTTAAAAGTTACTATTAATTTTTTTCGTTAAATTATAACTGTTAAATACTTTTAAAAATAATTTTGTTTTAATATAGTATACCTACTGAATAAGACTGAGTAGTATGTAAATATACTATTTACCTGAAAAATTGTAGTTATCAAAAAATGTTTATAGCAGATTTATTATTTTTGTTAATATACAATATTGTACAATATTTTTAATTAAATTAAAAAGACGACTTTTTGTTTCAATTTTTAGTCACGGTAACCAATCAAAAAATACTCGTCTTGATATCATTTTAACAGGGAACGACATAACTATATATTTATTTGACATTGAATATTCAAAGTACAAAAATAAACAAAAATTCAAAAATATGCTATATTGTAAAATACATCAACCAAATTTTGCAGTCATGAATACAAAACAATATAAATATTTTGAAGTATAAGTGAATAAAAAATATTAACTATAAATGTTTTAATAATAATTGTTAATATTTTCAGATAATAATCTCAAATATAGTTATAGCTACCACTCCTAATGAGTTAACTATTGAAAATAAGCCTATAAATCCTGAAAAATATTCAGTTTTAATTTTTAACACTATGAATGATTCAAATGAAATTGATTTATTGAAATACAATATGACGTGGTGTGATTACAATAGTTCAAAAGAAGTATATATATACTTGTATATAGGCCAGTCAACGAAGGAGTAATTTTGGCGAATAGCGGAAAAAATTCCCAACCAATTTTTTTTTTTTTATAAGTTGAATTAAGATATGTGTAATGACATACTAAAAGTCCTCATCGATTGGACTTGAGCTTTTTTTTTACAGCCTCGCAAAAGTTCAAAAATATGAGCTTTTTTAATTTTTTCAAAAAATATTTAACTTACAAAAAAAGGTTTCGTACAAAAGTTGTTTAAAAGACAATTTTAAACATAAAATGTATCTTATATTTTTTTATTTAAGAAAATATTTTTCGTGTTATATTACATTTAATATGAGTATTAAAATATATTTTCCAATTTTTTTCATTTTACGGTTACTTTTTATCATGTTATACTTACATTAGACACAATTGATTTGACGCTATATTGTTTAAACCCAACTAAACGTTGGGTTTAAACATCAGCTGTCCTCATATCGCATTCAATAACATCCTTCAATCTCTTTTTTGGCCATCCTCTACCTCTTCTTTCTTCAACATTCATTTCTATAACTGTCCTTACAGCTTCCGATTCTTCTCTCCTCATAACATGACTAAATAATCTAAGTCTATTTTCTCTCATCTTATCCACGATTGACGCTACACTTATACTCCCTCTTATATGCTCGTTCCTTATTCTATCTTATCTAGTCACTCCACTCATCCAATTAAGTATTTTCATCTCTACTACACTCATTCTCTGCTCTACTTTCTTATCAACCGCCCAACACTCTGAACCATACATTATAGCTGGTCTCACTACATTGTTGTAGAATTTACCTTTTAGCCTCATTGGAATTCTTTTATCGCATAAGACACCAGACGCTTCTCTCTACTTCAACCACCCGCACTTAATCCTGTGTCTTACAATCTCGTCAATACCACCGATCTTTTGCACTACTGATCCTAAATACTTAATTCCGGGGCAATTGACATGGTATAATTGTTGTTTGGGAATGTACAATTTAACGTTTAGTTGGGTTAAAACAATATAGCGTCAAATCAATTACCTACTCTATTGGTTGTATCTTAATATACACTACAATTTAATGATGCTATAAATAAATAAACTCACACATACACACACATGCATTTATAACATTGTGTCTAATGTAAGTATAACATGATAAAAAGTAACCGTAAAATGAAAAAAATTGGAAAATATATTTTAATACTCATATTAAATGTAATATAACACGAAAAATATTTTCTTAAATAAAAAAATATAAGATACATTTTATGTTTAAAATTGTCTTTTAAACAACTTTTGTACGAAACCTTTTTTTGTAAGTTAAATATTTTTTGAGAAAATTAAAAAAGCTCATATTTTTGAACTTTTGCGAGGCTGTAAAAAAAAAGCTCAAGTCCAATCGATGAGGACTTTTACATATCTTAATTCAACTTAAAAAAAAAAATTTGTTTGGGAATTTTTTCCGCCATTTTTCCTTCGTTGACTGGCCTAATAAAAATAATAATATTAATTTATTGTTTTTTTTTAGATTAATGTTAGAATAATGAAAAATGTTTCATTCACAATATATGATACTACATTAGAACTACTTAAAAATTTGTTACAAACTACAATAACATATTTCAATAAATTAAAAAAATCTGAAGATTTTTTTATATTTTATGAATCAATAGATACGATTTCAGACAATTTTCAAGATATTAACACTTTAATATCAGCAAATCAACAAGTTGAGACATCTAACAAAAAACATGAGTACATAGTTATTTTTATTATAGTGAACGTCGAACCAAATATTATGCATTTAACCTTTACGTATAATTTTTATTATTTTTAGATTCTATGCGTTTTTTTAGTAGTTAAATGTAAACAAATTAAATTTAATTATATAAAAAAATATATGTATCACTTTAAAATAATTGTAATTACAGACACATGCTTATAGTGGAACTTAATATAATAATGCAGTCCATTTTACAAACCCAATTGAATCAATTAAATATTTAATAGATTTCATCACTTTTTGTGAAAAAATATTTTGTGTTTCATAATAATATTTATAAACATACTATTTTAAAACAGGGCTATTTTAAGCTCTTTTTTTACTTTAATTATCATACAAAAATTTATTGAGTATAATATAACAAAGTAATTAAAAATGCAAGTAGATATATATCAATTTTCATTATGTAATAATAATTTTAACTTGTATTAGCTGGAAGAGTGAAATTTTATTGAAAATTAAAATAAACATCCAACAAATCGTTTTAGAGGCCTATATCAATTGTAGTGGTAATATGATTTTTAGTAATAAATTTATTCATTAAAAATAACGTAGTTTATAATTTTATTTATTTCTTTATACTTTAAATATTTAATCACTGGTGACTTAACTCAAAAGCTCCATAAGAGAAGCGGTGGACTAGACCCTCTGTAGCGAAGACTAGTCTCTCAGCGTACCCAAATTAAGTGATGATAATTTTTTTTATCATTATTTAAGATTGAAAATAGTTTTTGAAATTTTTTAAGTCGAGTTCTTATTTTTATGGGATATTATGTTGACCAATTTAGGACCAGAATTTACAATGGTGTATTATACAATAAAAACAAGTTAAAATGAATATTGTCAAGTACACTTTAATAACATTTTTTAAAGAGAATTAATGGTAAATTTGTATCAATAATTATTGGTATTTATGTAGATCATAAAATAACTAAGTAACTAAAATAATAACTTAAAAGTTATTTGAATCGTTATTATTGGTGAATATTTTGTATAATGTTTTTAAAACTGTTTTTATTGATACAAATATATTGTATAAATGTAATAATAAAACTCTGAAAGTTTATTAATTTTTAAAATACATTTTTGATATGGGGTCATTTTAAGATCACATCTTGGGTGTTTCATTAAATAATCTCAAAAATAAATACTTCATTTTATACCTATGACTTTTTGGTTAGCTAGAACCTCTTTAAATCTGGTACTTAATTGGATCCTTCAAAACATTAAAATGTTTAGAACTTCTGATAGAACCTGAACACTTTTTAAAACCAGTAACTAAAAATCCCAAACGTTCTAACCCCTATAAGAATCTCACATAATTCTTAGTTTGAAGGAATGAAAAAATTTGTTTAGATAGTATTATTATATGCTTTGGAAGTTTAAGTTCTGATTATGATTTAACTTTGGTGAATTCAATTAAATGTTTTAATGGCGAATCAATTTTAAGCAATATTTCAATAGCAATAAGTGATTTAACATCGCGGGAATTCGTGTTGTATCCTATGACTTGCATCGCTCATTCTAAAATTTACTTATTGGATTTTGAACAATTTAAAAGGACAACCCAATTAATAATGAAAATTGATTACATAATATTAGATATGTCAATAAAGTATTACAGAATGATTTTATCGCTGTGTAATAAGTATAAAACATATTTTTCTAAATTAGAAAAAAAAAAAAAAACAAATTTCCTAAATGGTAATTTTTTTAATATAAATTAAAATAAACTTAATATAATTTAGTCAAATTGTTTAGAAAAATATTTCTGCGATGATCTTGAAAAAAACAATTTTACCATTTTTAATTCAGAAGATATAAATTTACCAACACTTAATAATGTTATTCATACGAAGAGTAATAATAACAATTTTATAATAACTTTGAAATATTCACAGCCAAGAATAATTACAAAATTTGAAGTTTACCCAATGAATATTCGAGTATATAATACTACTTTTCATCCTTAAGCGTCCACTAGCTATAAAAAAATGTTTTTGAATTCAGTATACTTGTGATTTGAAAATTTCACTGGAGTGTTATGATGAAATAAACAATATTTTTAAAATTTGTGAATGTTTTTCATTTGATAATAAAAAAAAGATTTCACTTAATCGAGAAACTGAAAAAGAAATAGCTTATGTTTGGCGAATCACTATTTTTCAAGAGAAATGTTTGGATTTAATAACTTATGATATTATAAAGTAATATATTTAAAAAGAATAATTTGTTCTTAAATTTTACAGTAAAAAACATTTGACGGGAGTTGGTATTTTTACAAGTAAAGTCAATTGTTACCGGGAAAATGAGTGCCTTATCCTTAATGAATCACTTTGTATATATATACAGGATAATTTTTTTATCATAACCCACTCAATTACTTGCAGAATAATAATAATTTAAACATTTTTTTTTTTTATTATCTTTAGTTACACATTATTCTTGAATTTTTAACTATGTAATACTTTTTAAGTTCATTCCTTATGCCTTGTAAGGGGGTCAACTTTGATATTTGAGTTAATATACATGTATAATACACATGGGATTGTAAATACAGGTAGCTAATTGGATTTTTATGACATTGCTGTCTCAGTCACGGATTGTTTATTATCAATTATGATTATCAATAGATATACTTTCTGTATTGTCAGTTAGTGTATTTATAAACTCATAACAATGTGCCTTACTACAATTGATAATAACAATGCTGTGTACCTGCTAATATCGATGTTATAAAAAACCAATTGGCTACTATATTTGTAATCCCTTGTGTATTATACCTGTATATTAACTCAAAAATTTGAAATTTTAAATGATTATATCTAATGAACGAATTAAGTTATATCAAAAATCCAAATGCCATTTACTATTAAATTAAAAACTCAAACATTTAATTAAATTAAAAATATGTGTTACCATTTAAAAAAACAAAGTTGACCCCCTTACTAGGCATAAGGAATGAACTTAAAAAGTATTACATAGTTAAAAATTCAAGAATAATGTGTAACTAAAGATAATAAAAAAAACAAATTTTTAAATTATTATTATTCTGCAAGTAATTGAGTGGGTTATGATAAAAAAATCATTCTGTATATATATAGGGTGGTCCTTATTTGACCAACTTTAAAAAACTAAAAGGGAAAACCTAACATTTTGTTCTATGTAGTAAATAAAATTTGAGTATTTTAGGACAACTCCTTCACGTGCCTCAAAGGGGTTGCAAAATGACGAAAAAGGGTAGAAATATAGTATTTTGCGTGTATTTTTTTAAATATTAAGATGACAAAAAAAACTATAGAATCAATTTTATAGGAAAACATATTAGCAAAATAAACAGTTTTTACATATATTTACGTATCATTGACCGCTAAGCATAAAAATTAAAAAATACTATTAAAATTTTTTTTTCATTTTTTGACAATATCTCTCTAAATATTGAAAACACAACAAAATTTAAAGACATAAAATATATTTAAACATATACAACTAAAAAAATGATGAAATTATGATTTTTCTATAATACTGAAATTTAAGCATATAAAGTAAAAAATTACTTAATTTTTCTAAAAAATCAAAAATTATTTCTCTATAAATAATTTATAAAATTTATTTCAAACTTCATTTGTTTTAATTTAAATAAGGTAATTAAAAAAAGGTTTATTTTTAACTGCAAATCTTAGTAAAATATAATATTATTGTTGAGCATCTTTTGTTAGAATGTGATATCGTTCGAAAATTAAAAAAAATATATGATAATTGGCCGATTTTCTGGATTTTTTTTTTTTTCTAAACTTCACCAATTATCTTATAATTTTTTTAATTTTCGAACTATATCACAGCAATATTTTGAAGGTATTCTTGCCTTTTTCCAAAATAACAAGATTTCATCAGCAACAAGAGCAGAAATATCATTAAAATCTAAGTGTAGAATCCGAATCTTGTAAAATAATATACGTAAGCAATCGCCTTTGGAAAGTAATTCATTAACTGTTATTTGACTGATCATATAATCTATAAGAAAAATAGGCTGTCACGACATTAAAAAAAAAAACTATGATACACTAAATTATAAAAAAAAATCTTAAATATTAACTTCAAAATAGCGACAGATTTTAAAATGAAAATTTAAGTAATAAGATTATTATTGTCTTTTACATAGTATCAATAATTTAAGAGTCATTGGAATGAGGCAAAGAAAAATAGAATGAAAATGTGATAAAAGCTGCTAGATATAATCATTTAAGTTAATATATTTACAAACAAATATTAATAAATATTATTAACAAAAATATAATTGAAAAAAAATTATTTTAAAATAAAATAGCTTCCACAAAGAAATCTTTATTTTTGTTGACGGATACGTATTAAAAGTTGTAGCGTAACCTCATAACTGTATTAAGTTAAATTAATTTATGTTACACCATATAAAATGAGTGTCACCTGTATTCAAAATAGTAAAATAATAATAGAAATTTAGTCTAAAATCATTTAACTTTAACAGACGATCGATTGATCGGAAAAAAATATTTTAAGAGCAAAGTTGTTTCTATTTTTATTTTAAATCATAATAACAAATTCAAAATAGGGGTTCCATTTAAGAAAATTCAAGTTAATGTTTTTTAAGGGATGAAAAAATTATAATAAGTATTTTATAAAATAACCTTTAGATTATTTTACCATTTAATAATAATATATAAAACATTAAACTTAACCAAATACTTTATTTTTTAGGAAAAACATTAAAATTTACTCATTTTTTTCATCACGATTTATTCCTGATTATCAATATTCAATTGATGTTTCAACGACAAAAGTTTGTAAAATATTAAAGAATAAATAAATTAACAAATAAAAATAAAAATTTAATTTTTTATAATTTGAAGATAAATATTTTGAGTAGCATACAAAAAAATCAGATAATTCCAAGATTTGAATTAATTCCTGATCTTTTGCAATCGCATCCATTAGTTATTATTCAGTTAGAAAAAATACATGCTAGTATATCGTGTTATGAAGGTAATGAAATATTACAAAAAAATTATTTTTCGTTACATTTTATTATATAATAATAAAAAAAATGAAAATATTTTACATTATGCAGGTAATATAAATATTTCTACTGAAGCAAAAATTATAATAGACTTGATAGTATATGAAAATGCGCTGCAAACAACAATTTTAAAATTATATTTTCAATGTACAAAACAAAACTTTTTAAATAAAAGTATGTGCGATATCATTTATTTTTTTTTGAATTATACTTAAATTTTTATCTAGAGGAAAATGATGTTATCATTGAAACAAGTTCTATCTCAGTAGAACTTGGACCAAGTACAATTAATTCTCTTTACAAAGCAATTCAAAATTGGAGCAATAATTACTACGATGTGAATCCATATATAGTATTTAATGACACTATTTATAAAATAATGTAAGTATATAATAATAAAATAAATAAATAACTTTATACCTTATAAGGGTATTAAATTAATTTTTCAAATGGAAATATATAGTTTTTATATATATATATATATTTTTATTTACTAAAAATTATTATTATTATTTTATAGCATTGGACTTTATAACTTCGTTTATAGGTTATAACACTATGAGTTTCAATTTTTGAAATTAAAATCCATTTATAACATTCGAGGAATTATAAATTCAGTTAGCTTGTTTACGACCACATTATTCAAAAACACAAAATGGTTAGTGCCAATTATAACACTATTGAGTCATAACGACAATAATCGCTACATTACTCAACTTTAATTAATTAATAATGAAATGGACCGTTATAATCGAATCCATTTACCTATATCGGTTATTATAATTCCTCGCATGATATTCAAATATTTTTACTCAAATATTAAAATATTCAAAGTATTATGCTAAAGAATGGATTAAGTTATATTGAAAATTCAAACGCCATTTAATATAAAAAAATCTTCAATGTTTTATGAACAATATTTATTGATTTTTGTGACCGGATTGGTACGATAGACAAAATGAAGAGCTAATGCGCTTAAATATTAGTTGCTATTTATTATATTTAAATATATATTTACACTTATAATTAACTTTATGACTTAAATGGATAAGATGATGTAAGGGGTACCTGACAATGAGGATGCGGTGATAGGTGGAGATATGAATGGGGATGTAGGTAATGAGAGGAAGAGATTTGAAAGAGTATATAGAGGGTATGATTTTAGTGGGAAGAATGAAGCTGGAGAAAGAATACTGGATTTCGCAGTATCGTATTATCTTGTTGTAGTTAATACTTCTTTTAGAAAGAGGTAAGAACGTTATACAGCTTATAAGAGTTTGAGTATTAAATCACAGATTGATTATTTTTGTGGAAGAGGGAGAGCGTAAAACGAGTAAAGTATTGTAAATTTATACCAGACGAAAGTGTAACTACATAGCATAGACTGATGGTAATGGAGTTTTAGTGTACTGTTAAAAGAATATGCAAAAACAGAAGGAACACGGAAGAAAAATTGAAAATTAGTTGGTGGAATTTGAAAGGGGAAATAGAAAAAGAGTTTGTCAAGACGGTAAAAGAGAGGACGGTGTGGAATATCGAAGAAGACATAAATGATGTGTGGAATAGATTTGCTAGTTGTGTTAAGAATATTTCAAAGGAGATTGTTGGTGAGAGTAGGAGTAGAATGCTAGGAAACAAGGTGGTGGGATGAGGACGTTAAAAAAATCATAGAAAGTAAGAAAAAGCAATTCACAGTATGGCAGAAGAGCAAAATGAGAAAAAATTGGATAGAGTATAAACGCTTCTGCAAAGAAGCCCAGTGTAAGACAAGTAAGGTGAAGTATAAGAGGTATGATAAACTAAGAACAAAGGATGGCGAAAAAGAAATCTATAGACTTGTAAAAGTAAGAGAAAAAAGGTCTAAACATTATCATTATGTAAGGTGTACAAAATGTGTTGATAAGAGGTTGCCATCCAGTGATGATAATGTGAAGAATAGGTGGAAAGTGTTTTTTGAAAAATTAATAAATGAGGAGTATCCAAAAGTGACATTAGAGAATATCTCTTGGAACAAAGGACTGGTAGATTTAATTAGTCATAAATATAAATAGTATGGGAGGCTGTGGCATTAATAAAAATAAATAAAACAGTAGGAAAATATAGAGGCCTAAAGCTTATGAGTCATTTTATGAATATTTGAAAAAGGTAATAGATAAGAGAATAAGAAATAAGACATCGGTACCTAAAAGCCAGTTTGAATTTATGCCTGGAAAATCAACAATGGAGCCATTATATTATAATTATATTATATTATATTTGTGTGAGGCAACAAATAGAAAAGTTTAGGGAAAAAAAGAAAAAGCTTTGTATAATATTTATAGATTTGGAGAAAGTGTATGTTAGAGTATCGAGAGAGCTTCTAAAGTGGGCATTTATGAGAAAAGAAGTCCCGAAAAGGTACATTAATATAATAGAGGATATGAATGATGGAACTTGTACAAGGATAAAAAGTGTGGGAGGAGTAATGGAAGGTTTTCGGGTAAGAGTAGGAGTGCATCAGGGACCTGCTTTAAACCCTTAATTATTCTCTATAGAGATGGATTAAATTACTAAAGAAATACAAGGAGAGGTGCTGTGGTGCATGTTGTTTACTGACGATCTAGTGTTAGTAGAAGAAAAAAGGGAGGAAATCAGAGGCTAGAGGTGTGGAGATCAGCTCTTGAAGAAAAGGGTTTAAGAATAAGTAGGAGTAAGACAGAGTATATAGAATACGAGTTTGATAAAGGAGAACGCGAGGTAGGTGAAATGAGGGAGTCAGTGACAATAGGCGAGAGTGTGAATGGGAAGGTGGAAAGTTTTAAGTATTTAGGATCAGTTGTGCAAAAGAGCAGTGGTATTGGTGAGGATGTAAGACACAGGATTATGTGCCGGTGGTTGAAATGGAGAGAAGCATCTAGTGTCTTGTACGATAAAAGTATTCCTATAAGACTGAAAGGTAAATTCTACAAAACTGTAGTGAGACCAGCTATGATGTATGGTTCAGAGTGTTGGGCGGTTGAAAAGAAAGTAAAACAGAGAAAGAGTGTAGTAGAGATGAGAATACTTAGATCAGTGGTTCTCAACCTTTTTGTATTCGTGTCACCCATATCCACAAGAACCCAATACTAAATCTCCCTAACATCAAATTAATAATTATATAAAATACAATTCCTATAAAAAATACAGTACCCAGAAATGTAACAACGCATATTACTTCAACTTTAGTGTTATATAAACATTGACATTTTAAACCCTGCTGATTTTTACATAGTTGTGGAATTCGAGGATTGATGGTTGAAAGAGCGAGTCTCATATCATCTTCTAGTGTTGTTTTTATAAGTCTTTGGCTTGGTTGGGTTTTTTGTTTTAATATTCGTGAGTAAATCCATATTCACATAACCAGGACGTTAAAAATTGAAGTAGTACTTCAACAGCTTTTGTTGATAGTCGAGGGTATTCACTGTGAAGACTAACCCAAAAGCAGTTCAACGAGTCTTCTTTAAATATTAGTTGGAGCGTACGGTCATTTTTTAGCTCCACAGCTTCCTGCTGTAATTTACAATCATATGTGTGCACCATAGAACTAAATGGATTACGAATCCAGTCATACCGTTCGACGTTCCAGTCTGGGAAATAATATTTTAATGACATTTGCAAGGCCTACAAGTGATTTTCTATGATTTCCAGAACTTCAGGATTGGAGTTTTCTTAGTTTTTAAATAATGGAAACATGGTTGTGTTCCCTTAATCTAAGTTTTTACACCACACAGAGATTATTTCCTGAAAACTTGAAAGTTCATCGGTGGAAGCTAATACATTTTCTAATGGCCCTTGCAAACCAGAATTAACCAAGTTGAGATGATGAAAAATTTCAGCCAAATACGCAAATTTTGATATCCAATCTTCATCTTCCATAAAACTTGTAAATTCTTCGTTCTTTCTGCCATGAAAAACAATCAATGGTCCTTTTTAAGTTCATAGAGACGTGCTAAAACTTTTCCTCTAGATAACCACCTCACTTCGGTATGGTATAACAAATTTGTGAAATCAGCAAATTTCGGTGAAAATTCTACTTTTCAAGGGCTTTCCTTTAATGTAGTTGACAATACGGACAGCATTGAGTACACTACCCAACGTTTTTGTCATTAGCGCTTCTCTGTGGATGAAACAGTGAGTTTTAACGATTAATGGGTATTTCATTTTAGCGTGTGTAACAAACTCTTTGATACTACCAGTCATACTTGGAGCTCCATCAGTGCAAATTCCAACACAGTCACTCCACAATATTCCATTATTTTCAAAAAAAAACATTTTTTGTTTCGAAAATGTCTTTACCTTTTGTATTTGTTTTTAACTCTTTCAGACTGATACATACAATTCATCATACAACCGACACTTTAGTATGTTTTGACGGCCGATCAGTCGATAGGGAATTCTGACTCTGTTTTAAAGTCCCAGAAGTTGATGATGTGTCTTCACTCTGATTTGATATTCCAAAAGTCGATGATGAGCTTGCAATCTGTTTTGAGGTCTGAGTAATAAATTTATCCATTTTGTAGCAAAATAATATTTAATAATAATATTGTCGATTTTTCACAAATAAGTTATTATTAACTGCACTTGTTAACGAAAAATAAACACTGTCAAACACTTTATACTAACGACAGAAAACTGACTGAAACTCGTTTCAGATAACGCAGCGTTGTCACACGTCTAACGGACGTAATTATCGGATCTATAGTGTTAACTATGAAGTGTATACTATAAATAGAAATAATGTAGAGATAAGAATTTTGTGGTACCTGTGCCGTTTAGTTTAAACAATTATTGCGTTGTTTAAAAATGTTAGCATTCACATGATGTTACAGTAAAACGTTTTTTTTCGAAAAAATTTCAATATTTTTAAAATTTTCTCGAGACTTTCGTGTCACCCCTACACCGCATCCATGTTACGCCGGTTTAGAACCACTGACTTAGCTATGATGTATGGTTCAAAGTGTTGATAAGAAAGTAGAACAGAGAATAAGTGTAGCAGAGATGAGAATGCTTAGATGGTTGAGAAGAGTGACTAGAGAAGATAGGATAAGGAACGAGCATATAAGATTGAGTATAGATGTAGCGTCAATCGTGGATAAAATGGGGGAGAAAATAGACTTAAATGATTTGGTCATGTTATAAGGAGAGAAGAATCGGAAGCTGAAAGCACAGCCGTAGAAATGAATGTTGAAGGAAGAAGAGATAAAGGAAGACCAAAAAAGAGATGGAGAGATGTTATTGAATGCAATATGAGGACAGCTGATGTGAGCGTAGAGGATGTAGAAGATGGTGTCAAGTGAAAGTATAGAATAAGAGTGGCCGATCCCAAATAGTTGGGATTAAGGTGAGGAAGAAGAAGATCTTATTATATAATATAACAATAAAATGCTGAAAAAATGTATTTTATAGTTCATTTTGAAGTTTTCAATGAATCATCTCTTGTGGGCAGGTAAAGGGTCAGATTTATAAATAAAAAACACAAAATGATAAGTAAATATCTTATGTATCTATAAAATAAAATTGAAAAAAATGTCGAAAATTAGTGAATTTGAATTTGTAATTTTTTTGGATATTTCTCCATTTACGTGAAACGAGAGAAATTTTTTCAATTTTTGAAGATAATGTCCTCGACTAAATACGATTTGTGATCTTTTGACGTATCGTTGACAGAAATTGTTTCGGTGAGGGTTGAAAAAAGTGGTAACAGACACAAAAAAATTGAAACCCTCTCAGCTTTGTATTGAAGCTAAAATTAGTATGATTTTTAATTTGTTTACTTTGATAATTAGGTTTGGCCAAGAAAACACAAATGAAATAATAATACTCGATAGCTTACAATGTTGCCATTATAGATGGTACAAACCTACTACAAAATATTCTTTAAAATTTTCAATGTGTATTCCAAATAAAGAGTAATAGTCAAATTATATTTATATTGTAATAACCTGTCTTACATTTTTAAAAAATTATTTAGAATAATTTGGAGTTGTTCAATTGCTGTTAATATTAATTCTTTAAAGAAATTTACTTTTAAATCAGACCACGGGTTTTACATTATACTGGTTCTTGTAAAACGCAAATCTCCTATTTTAACTGAGGTAAAAATATATTTCATTAAACAAGGAAGTGTATTAATTTATTAGTTCAGATTACAGTAAAAAGTATGTTAAGTATAGCAAATAAAACTAAATATTCATTGAAGGCGCGGATATCAAATTTTAGTTATGGTAAAATCATTTATAATGATATTCAGCACATTTTTAATATTTCATCTAATTACACAACACCATCGGCAACGATTGATACGAAGTGTAAAATTTTTATTGAAATATGTCATGAAGATACTAATAATCATTGGTCTGATAAAATTTGTGTGCTTGATCAAAACATTGTACCTAAAAAATATAATTATATACATTTAAAAAGTAAATATTGATAAGTTTTTTAACATTTAAACGGTATTGACTATCTTCAGTTCCAGATAAAACAGATAATGACTTATACCATATTATTTGTTGTTCTTTAATAATTGAAAACAAAGATGGAATTGATCGTATGCTGGTAAGTGTATATTTTATATACTAATACATAAATAAAAATACTAATTTAAATAAAAGATATTACTATCGCCCATGAATATGATACAAACGTATTTACCAATCAGTGTTAAAATTTACATAAAAAATATGACCTCCGATTTCAAAGAAACTACAATTTTACAAGTAGATTCAGCTTTGAATCGCGAAAATGCTCAACATTTTGATTTGCCACACAGTAAAAATAACATCTCAAACAAATTTATGGTTTCATTGAAGTAAGTTATATTAATTTATATTTTTTAATTTTTAAATAGTTATGTGTATATTAGTTGATTTTAGTTAATTTAAAGTATAAAATATATTCTATTAAAAATCGGTGCATAATATAATATTAATTAATTAATCAAGCATAATGATATCTGACAGTGATTAAAATCACTATCAAAATAAAACGCTTCGATGCAAATCTTTAGATAGTGTTTAATTTTAAAAATTGTTGGATTATTCCAAATGCTACATGATCTGCTAGTTCCTTATTAATATCCTATTTAAGATAAAGTATGTCAAATGAAAATGGGATTATTAAAAAATATTTTTTCTCACTTATAACACTTTTCAATAAGTTATAGCATTATAAAGTTAAAAATGTAAAATACAAAATCGAGAATTTTCACACAAAAATAGCATTCGGTATCCATTTTCACCATGAAGACAAGTCCAGAGGTCAATTTTTTTTTTATAATAAAGTATATTACATTAGCTTTAATTTAATATATATATAAAAGTGTCAGACCTTCCGGAACATTTTTAAAAGTTAAGTTGAAAAAGTTATTTTTTTGTGAAAAAGTTGTCATTTTAAATCCCCCCTGGGGCAGGTTAAGTGTCAGATTTACAAAATAAATTTACCAAATGATATGTAAAGACATCAAGCATCTATAAAAAAAAAAATTAAATTTATATGTTCATTTTTGAAAAAGTTACGGCAGTTTTTAGTTGAAAAAATTTCGAAAATTAGCGATTTTTAAATTTGTAATTTTTTTGGAGGTTTCCCCCATTTACGGGGAACGAGGGAAATTTTTTCAATTTTTAAGGGTAATGTCTTTAATTAGATACGATTTGTGATCTTTTGATGTCATAGTAAAAATCAATACCTTCTCAGCTTCGCATCGAAGCTAAAAATATAAATAAACATTTTTTTCCCTGAAGGGATAAAAAAATTTTTTATTTAACTTCATATTATTGTAGAGTTTTTTAAACTTAATAATTTTTCTTTTTACAAAAATTTTAAATTTTTAATAGTTTCTGAGAAAAATAAGTGTCTTACCAGATTTCGATCACCCTGTATAAGTAATTATAATAAAAAAATTGATTTTAATTATATCAATAGTTCTGAGTAAAAGTATATTATTTTTAATTCACGACCAATTTACCATAAATATTTTTTATTAACTCAGGCCAAAATTATACTTATTTAGGGCCTTGGAGTCAGAATTTTTAATGGTCTCCAAGAAACTTTTTTTTGTTAAATTCTGTACTTTTTTATAGAATAATGTTTTTAAGTACAACACAAATTATAACTGCATAAGAAAAAAATATTAATTATAATAATATAACTTCGAATATTTTAAGTTATTAATTGAATTAGAAATACAAGAATAGGTTCCTTTTTCTTTGTTGGACCCTATTTCTTGTAAGCGTGAGGATCGTGACGCTTGTTTGCCCCATAGTCTGAGCCTGTATTAATTTAAAACAAATTCAAAACAGTATATAAAATGAATTTGTTTTATTTTATAATTGATGAATTTAATAAAAAATTACAAAACATAGTAAAGACTTCGACGAAAGTTCATCTATAATATTTCAAAATCACAATGAAGAATTCATTAATAACAATTCGAATAAAAATGAAATAGAATCAATTAAACTATCAATTGATGAAATATTAAATGATGTATATCCAAATAAAAAATTAAATTTAAAATGGCCATTTATTGGATATGAATTTAACAATGTCCAATGGAAACAAGGATATTCACTCAACTCATATGCATCTATATCAGTATAAAAAAAATATGTTTTACTATTTATAATTATTTAATATAAATTTGTATTGACAGCGATGTGTGGATGCAAACTTTGGTGGACTATGTACACAATTATTTCTAGTGAAGCCATGGGCTTTATTTATTAATACATCAGGGCAAAGAATTACTTTATTCTTACAAAGTGCTCCAAATATTGTTTATTGCATTTTGGATAACATGAATGTAGTTAATCCTCAAGAATTCAAAGTACTTTCATCAGTATAAAATTCTAATTTTATACTGATTGATCAGTTAGGAATTAAGTTAATCAAAAGGATGCTACGTTTAATGTTTAATAAAATAAAATTCAAATTTCTGTGGTTTATGATAATAAAAAGATAAAAGTTTCTAATAAACTTTTTATCTTTATTTCTTTAAACTATAACAAATCTTCGTTCAAAATTTTAAAAATTCCACTATTTCAACATTTTTTTTTAAAACTAACTATTTTAGCAATCTGAACATTAATTGGTTATCCAATAATTAAAAGTTTAAAAGTGAATCATTATTCTTAACATACTAATTAAATATCTCTAAATATGCTCGTAGTTTGAAGTTTTAACATTTTATCAATTAACCTTTTCTTTGCTTTTATATTAATAATTTTAGGGGAAATTTTTCATTACATTAAATGATGAAATAAAATTTCCTTCAGAATTAATAAACATTCAAGAACAAAATATTGAGGGCGAAAATGATTTAATTACCATAGAAGTACATAGTCGTTTTTCATTAAAATGTAGGAACTCAGTAAGTATAATTCTTACGTGTAATAATATATAAAAATAGTCAAAGCAATAATTTTTAGATAGGTTTCTTGGATATTTGTTTTTCATATTTTAAAGGTGTAAAAATTTTACATTTTCGGAGTTCATATTTAGCTACTAACTATAGCTCAAAAGATATAGCATTATGTGTCACATGCTCAATGCCTTCATCACATTTATTGAATATACCCAAAAATATCAATCAATTATCAATTATTTTACCAAAAAAACAAAAAAACTTGTAAGGATAAAAATTATTAAACTTTTATAATTATTATAATTGTAATAATTTTAAATATATAGATGTAAACCAGTGGCCATTTGGAGATTAGTTGATTCTCCAATTAGCGAAGTAGTTGTTGAGAATTTAAATCAATACCTTATATTTGTTTTGAATGGACTTCTAAGTTGTCCAATCATGTTATCTGAATTACGTGGTGAGGAATTTCCTATACCAGTGGTATTTTCCTCATTTAGTGTAGAGGATGATCCCATGATTTGTGTTACATTATCATGCCATAATAAACAACATATTATAAACATACTTGATAATCAACATCAACATATGGTATTGAATAATTTTTGTGATCATACATTAATAATATCAAAAAATCCTAATTGTGAAACATTTTCGAAACATTGGAAGTGGATATATAGAATTCAAAAAAATCAAAATAGCACTTTATCTTTAAAGGGACTTAGCAATAAACAATTTTCAATTTTGTATCTGAATAAGTTAATGGGAAATTCAAAAACTGGTAGATATTTTCTTACAATGAAAATAAAAAAATTATATTTATTTAAAAAAATATACAGTATAGTTAACTATAATATAGATTACTCATGAGTAGGGTTTGAATGCATAAGACCTACCCCATTATTTTTTCCATGAATTAATTATACGTAAAAAACATTTTGTTACAAGGAAATATGAACAACCCAACCTATGCTACTTGTTATTTTTAATAGTTAGTATTAGTATAAAAATATAACTGTTAAAATTATAGTCAATTATTTACTAAGCCTTAATTGTATCTTCATTGAGATATCCTAATATTTAAAAATTTCATCGAATTATAAAAGTAGTTAAATTAATAATAAATCTACTTCATTGGATTCTTTGATTAAATGTATAATATATTATATTATATGTTCATAGATTTATCACAGTTAAAATGTTTGGGAAGTATAATTATAAAAAATGAAGAATGCCACTATCTAAAAAAGATATCTAATCAAAATATTGATGTGATAATAAATAAAGTATTGTTTACTTGGAATATTACCATAAAACCAATTATACAGATTAGTAAATCAAATCATTTTTTATGTAAGTATACATTATTATTTAAGTTAACCGTTATTCATTAAGTTTTGAATGTATTTAGCACTTAACTCAGAAGAAAAAGGATGCTTGAATAAAGAACAAAATTCATTAAATGATCATGGTACTTATAAATATATATATACAGGTTATTCACGATGTACTAAAAATCTATATACCATTTCTTATAGTATTCTTATTTGTATACTACGTTAAAAGAATACTTTATATTACTTGTCTCTAATAGGAAAAAATATATAAGTAATTATTTTTTTAGAATTTCAAATAAATTATTTTGAGCTCTTTCCTTTTTATATAAAAATAAGTCGATAACGACTTTAGGACAAGTACATACTTAATTATATTAATTTTAATGCATAAAGTGGATATAAAACGTAGGCGGAGTATAAGTACACCAATAAAGAGCTAAAAGCATATTCACTATTACATACTCACATTATGTATTAAAATGCTTATAATTAAATAGATGCTTGTATAAAAATTATTAACGACCCATCAACATTTTTTGTAAAAAGTACTAAAAAGCTATTTTGAGGAGATATTTTATTTATATTATTTTTATTAGTGATAAATAATAAAAATATATTTAAACATAATCTAAGAAAATAAAAGTTATTAAAAAAAAATAAATTTCGATAAACTAATAAATGCACTAAATATAAGCATTATTGGTTAGATTTAGACAATTTGCTGAGACAATTTTATATATTAATGAAACGATTATTTTTAAAACAATTTTTTATATAATTAAGTACCTTAATCAGGCCCTTATAATTATAAATATTTAAAAAAATTAATTTGAAAAATCTTAAAAAAATACTAGTATTGCTAAGTTTTACTACCATTCTTTGTAAATCGCTCAAAAAGTTGCACAAGTTTAATGTGGTAATGATTTTTTTAAAAATTCTGATTATATTATCACAACATTTTATATAGAAAATCGAATATTTCTTAAAATTTAGTTTACTATTAAAACATTAACAAAATTAATATTTTGAAATTAAATAAAAATATTAACTTATTTTATTAAAAAAAAAAGCAACAGACGCAAAAAAACATATCAAAGTAAAATTAAGGCTTTTAATTAGTTTTAATAAAATTTTACTGCTTAAAATAAACTTAACATAATTGTGTATTAAACTAATTTTGTATATTAATTATTGTTCTTAATTTTATTGAAGATGTGTGGAAAAATATTAATTGCTATATTTCAGAGATATCAATTAGTTTATTCGCAGATGAAATATACTCCAATAGCTTTCTTGCTATAAAAGTAAAAGATATCCTCATCTATTTAAACTCACTTAAAGTAATGATAAAACTCTTCATTTGATAATCCTCATATTAAAATATTTAATATGTTTTCATTGAGTATCTCTAAAAATAGGATTGTCAAAATAAAGAATATGAATTTATTTTGTCATTTGGACATTTACAAATAGATAATCAACGATATTCAAGTAGTAATTATAAATTTCCGTCAATATTAAAAACAAAACATAACAATTTTCAAAAATTAGTCAATGAGACAACTGATATTTCAAACAATACTTCAAAAAAATTCAGTGATGTAAGAAATACTGAATCAAAATTTGTTATTTCATCTATATTGGCCAAAAAAAACAATAAATCCATTGGTACTATATATATATATATATATAAATATAAATATATGTATTCTTAAGAGGGCGTTCAAGTAATTTTTTTTGGCGCATCAAAACCTGTCTCGGGAGAACGATTCTGAAGGATTTGGAAGTCGCAAAAAAATTATTAATATGTGAAATTAAACATGACAAGGTTATTTACATTTTTATATGAGCAGTTTTTTAAGTTTTTTTAATTTGACTTCGATAACTTTTTCAACAATGGATTAATAAAAACAAATATTTTTCTTTGTAAATACCTAAATAAAAGTATTATTTCTAGAACTCTTAAATATTAAAGTGAAAAATTTCTAGTTTTTATATGCATGTCTAAAATTTGAACTTACCCCTGTATAAATGGAAATAGTCCAATTTAAATAAAAAAGTATGTCGGATGAAAGGGGTATATAAAAAATATTTATGAAATAATATTCTATTAATTCATACATTTTTCAAAAAGTTATAGCAATATAAATTTAAAAATATAAAATCGAGAATTTTTCCACAAAAATCGAATGATTTTCTTTAATTTTGATGTCCGTTTTCAATACAAATACAAGTTCATACATAAGCTTTAATTTAATATATATAAGTGTCAGGGTGCCCTGAACTATTTAAAAAGTTAAATTGAAAAAGTTTTTGTGAAAAATTAAATTTTTAAATACCCCACTCTGGGTTGGTAAAAGGTCAGATTTACAAAAAAATATGTAGATAATGATAAGTAAATATCTAATGTATGTTTAAAAAAAAAACATTATGTGTTAATTGTTCATTTTTAAACATTTTGTAGCAGTTTACAAAAAAAAATTGAAAAAATGTTGAATATTACAGATTTTTAAAATTATAATTTTTTTGGGAATTTCCTTTATATACGGGAAACGTGGGAATTTTAAATTTTTGAGGGTTATGTCTTTGACTATACACAATTTGTGATCTTTTGATGTATTGTTCATTAAAATCGGTCCTGTGGCCGGTAATAGACTCAAAAAAAAAAAACAACAGAGTAAATTTTTATACCTTCTCAGTTTTGCATCGGAACTAAAAAGTTATTATGGTAACACAATCNCGAACTCATCGTCAATATATATATACATAAAACTTTAGTAAACCTTTGTGTCTACGTTGGGGTACTACCGACGTACGACATATGGTAACACAAATAATGAAACAAATGTAAAACGATTCACTGGGGGTGGTCAGCAAAGCCGGTAGTGGGGACTAATGCTTTGACTTTGCCGCTGATATGGAACATCTTAATTATTGTATGCAAATCTTTTTTACTTGGACGTCCACCTAGGGACTAATTTATTGTATTTATTATTAATCTGACCATTTTCACATTTTAACTATTTATAACATTGTTTTGTTTTAGTAATTTTGGATTTAGAAATTTCTTTACCAAAATTATATGTGTATTTTGAATACGAATTTTATGTTCTAATATTAAATCACTTATTTATGTTTGAAAAACTTAAATTTGATATAAACGACCCAAAAGTCATATCTGATGATCATTTGCCTTTGATTCAAAAAACATATAATAGAAACATATACCAACAATTCATGTTAAGAAAACTATTATTAAAGCCATTTGTTCTCAATTTAAGTATAAGCTGGAAAAATGTATGTCATATATCTTTTGATTACTTACAATTGAATTTTCAAGAATTTATAAAAATTAATGTACAAATGTCTCGAAAACAATTATTTAAATGTTTAATTATACATTATTATACAACATTAATACAAAATGTCGGACAAGTATTAGGTTTAATTGACTTAGTAGGAGCTCCAAGAAATTTGTCGTGTATTATAAGAGATGGTATATCTCAATTTATTGATTCCTCAAAACAAGGAATAGGTCAAGGTGTTGCATATTCAATTTATGGAATAATTAAAGACACTACGATATTTATAATAAAATTAGCTGATGGCTTATACATGTCAGTATTAAAGTTTGTTTTTAGCTGGTCAAAAACATTCATAGGATTTCAAACTTCACAATTGTTTGACTTGAAATTACAAAAGTCGATTGTATGTACTTAATAATATAATATTCTAATAATATTACCAAATATTAATACACAACAATTTTCAGATTCAAAATGGAGTGATGGAAAAAAAATTTTATGAATCCAATTTGTGGTACTATACTTTTTTAGAACTTTTTAAAAAAACTAATTTCGTAAAAATATATAAAGTTACCTTTGTAAATTGAAGTTACATTTCCAGAATATAAACGGATTTTATCAATATTTTTATTAGCTAGTCCTCCTGAAGATCCTTATTAACAAATTCAATTCCATCACAAACTGATGCTTTATTTATTTCAACAAATTTATTGTTAATTTAATAAAAAAGAATAATTAGAATAATTTTATGTTTTTCAGGTGTAATTTATTGTTAAATTTAAATTCTGATGACAAAGTACTTGTAATTGCGAAATTAAAGGATGTTATTTTTGAAAAAAAGTTTCAAAATATGGTTATGATATTAACAAAACAATTTTTATACTTCTTAAATGAACAATTGGAGTGTATTGAAAAATCAGCTATGTCTGGAGTAATTTTTTTAAACTCTGATTATGATTTAAAAGACATATTCCTTAATAATGAGGTTAAACGATCATTATCACGTTTATGATTTATTTTTTTATATTTGTAAATTTATTGTAGGCTAGTATTTGTATATTAAAAGAAGCCAAACGATCTAATACCTTGGATTTGGATGAAATTATTGATGATAACATTATAGTATTTACAGATACTATTACTTTCAATATTTTTGAAGGAGTCATTAAATCATACATTTTTAAAACTAATAATTTGGAATAAAAACTATTCAATGGCTATTATAACTCTTAAAATTCTTAATTATTACTGTGTATTTTTAATTTATCTTTTACTTAATATTTCTTTTATTATAAAATTATTCTTAGAATTTTTGTAGCATTAAGAGAGTATTTAGTTTGAAGTGTATTAATATACATAAATAAGTCTTAAGCTTGTCATACGGCTTACGTATATATTCCTACCGCCGTTTAAACCTCAGGTATAACGTTAGTCCGACCTGCCCGCCCACAAAACAGCTATACCTTGAGCATGATACGTTTACGTACTTAAGTCACATTATTTGTATATATATATTCTAATTACTATTAAAATTTATATATTAACACGCTTTATTCTAATTAAGAGATATAAAGTATTCATTTTGATTACGAGGTATGATTTCCGTGTCGTCATTTTTCGTCACTACCTCCACTTTCCGGGAGTGAGTAATTTGCGCGCCTGCTGCTTTTCTTGGATGTGGTAGCCGTTTCTCAGACTCCCTCCCCGGAATTGAACCCTGATTTCCCGTTACCTGTTATAACCATGATATTGATAGTAACTACTATCATAACATGAAACTAAAGAGTAAAAAATAAATTTAGTTTAAAAAAACTAAAAAAACATGCTTTTAAAGTACATCAAACTAAAAAACCGTTTATAATTTTTTGTTTTTTTATCGGGCAAAAAATCATCTTCTGACACAATAGTGTCAACAACTCATTATTTTTGTCGCTGACCGGTGGATAAAACGACAAGAGAGAATAAATATAATTAAAATCTAAGTGTTTATCGGTATTGAAATAATTCACCAAAATTATATAAATAATTTAATTACACAAATTCTAAAAAATAATGTATGCACAAATACATACATGTTAAATTAAAAATTATTATTGCATTTTTAACAATAATAATTAAATGTTCGAAAATAAAATGCTATATATTTTTTGTATTATAATTATATTTTATTTATTTATTTTTATATTATTAATTAATATAATAATTAATTTAATACAATGTTAATTTAAAATTATATTTTGAGTAAATATTAGAGATGATAAGTTCGTGAACGAATAGTTTATTTGAACTATTCTGAATTGTTTCAGTACCTGTAACTTAACAGTTCACAGTTCGAAAAAAATTGGTAGCAATGTATAACTGAAATAGTTCGCGAATTTCTTTAAAAATTCTCTGTGGTTCGTTGTTCGAAATCCTGTAAATGGTTTTATAGCTGTTTACAATTAAATAACAAATAAATTATATTGTTAAAATGTTACACAGTTTTTACAGTTTAACAATAAAATAAATTCATACAATGTACAAATATTAGATCAGATTTCTGATTTAACTTAGGACTACTGGTCAATATTTCCACCTTGAATTAGGTGATAATGATAACATGAGCCATGAGGGTATTGATAATAATTTTTTCTTAGTTTACGATGTTCAGGTTAGGGTTAGTTTATAACTTAATTGCCCATAGTGTGAACTACTACTGAAGTGTGTACTGCTGTACTAATAGTGATAAAATGAATAGTTCATTGCCAAACAATATCAGCATGATCAATAAAATTAGTGAACTTAAGAATAGTTCATTTGAACTATTCACTTGAATGAACTATGAACTAATGAACTATTCACAGAAATGAACTAAACTTTCCATCTCTAGTAAATTTAGTCANATAAGGGTATAAATTATTTAATAATCATTAAATCATTGTGATTCAACAGTGATAGAGTAATGTTGTGCGTGCTCGTTTTTTCCTCTCTAATCTATTTTTATATACTATTATATATACTTGAAGTTTAGTAAAGAATTGCATTATGGATTGTGTGTGTTTTGTTTGCAATCTTAATTTTGCTGACTTTGATGTCCCAATAAAATGTGATGATTGTAATTTTCAAGCTCATAGTAAATGTTCTGGACTTACAGCTGGTGAGCTAAAATGTTTTTCTTTAAAAAATCGCACCTTAAAATACTTTTGTCCGTCTTGTGAAAAAGACTTACGCGATATTCCAGAATTAAAAGGTTTAATAAATCGATTGTTAACAGAAGTAAACCAACTGAAATTGTCAAATAGTGCAAACTCAGCCATTTCTGAAGATTTCATAATTAATGAATTAAATGATCGTAATCTGAGAGCTTCTAATTTAATTATGTATAATATTCCGGAATCAACAGCTGTTAATACTGCTGATAAAATCAGACATGATGAAGTACAAGTATCTAATATTATTAGCTCCATTGTTAGTGATCGGCTATCAAGCCATTAAAGTTGATAAGATTGGGTAAACAAGTTCAAGCTAACTCTAAGCCTCGCTCAATTAAGATAGTGTTACCTACACCGCGGGATGCATTTGATGTTTTGAGAAATAAAAAAAAATTAAAATCAATCCAGCCTTCATCGGACATTTTTATCAGCTCTGATCGTACTCCTTATCAAAGGACATTTATGAATAAACTTCGCGATGAATTAAAGGCACGTATATCCAAGGGAGAAAATGATTTAACAATAAAATTTGTAAAAGGTACACCTGCAATTGTTCCAAGGGATCGCCGTTCAACTAATCTGATAAATAATTTTTTACATTGAATATTTTTTATCAAAATGTAAGGGGTTTATTGACTAAACTCCCCTTTTTTCGTAATTCTATTATAAATTTACATAATGATATAATATTTATCACCGAAAGATGGTTAAATAATAATGTGTGTGATGCTTTGAAGCTTTTAATCTATTCAGAAACGATCGATAAGGTAGGGGAGGAGGTGTTTTAATTGCCGTAAAAAAAAAAATAAAATGTGAGAAAATTAGTATCAACTCCTTAGGTGAAATTGATCAGCTATTTTTAAAACTTAGTTTATCAAATGAAGTTACCGTCATTATTGGGTGTGTTTATATACCTCCTTCTGTGTCCATTGAAAGCTACTCTGAGCATTTTGATTTACTGGAATCTATAGCCTTAAAATTCATTGATAGTTATTTTCTTATAGCCGGGGATATTAATCTAAACTCATTTGATTGATCTAGGGATCCTATAAGTCAAAATCATTTATCTGGTAATACAATATCAAATTGCTATATAAATCTTTTAAAGTTAAAACAAGTTAATAATATAAGTAATATTAATAACAGACATCTTGATTGTTTGTTTACAAACGGTAATGTTATGTCAAACTACCCTAGTGACTCTATAGTTCAAAAAGCTGATATATATCACCCTCCTTTTGATTCAATTATAAAATTTGATGTACCAAATGTTATTTATCAGTCCAATAATCTACCAATGTATAACTTAAACAAATGTAATTATAATGATACNAATGTAATTATAATGATATTTCAAATTTTCTCTCTAATATAAACTTCGATCTAAACTTAGAATACGTTTCACTAGAGGACTCAATAATTAAGTTTTATGAAATAATTAATCACTCTTTCTCTATCTTTGTGCCTAAAATTATAATTAATGAAAATTATTCTCCAATATGGGCTAATAAAAACCTTAAAAATTTACTTTAAAAAAAAAAAAAATTTTTAAAAAATATGCTCACAAGAAATATAAGATTAGTGGTTTTTATTCAGATTATTTAGTTTTTTCAGCTCTTCGAAAACAATGTAAGCATCTAATATCTCTAACTCATTCAAAATTTATGTCTAATATTGAAGATAACATTCAAGTAAATATAAAGTTTTTTTGGAAATATATTAACTCTTTAAAAATGAATAAAAATTCAAATATTCCTGATTTTGTATCTTATAATCAAATTCTATCTTCAAACAATGAAGAAAAAGTTCAGTTATTATTGCCAATCATTTTTCTAGTGTATATGTTAAACCTGTTAATTCATCAAATGTTAAAATTTCCTCACATGCATCAAAAAATATTCTTAATTTACACGAATGGTCGATTAGCGAAAATGAGATTTATGAATACTTAACTACATTAGATATTCACTCTGGATCTGGTCCTGATGGAGTACCGTCTGTTTTTTTGAAGAACTGTAAAGATGTTCTTGTTAAACCATTGTATTATATTTTTAATAAATCTTTAAAAATGAGTTTGTTTCCGGAAATTTGGAAAAAGTCATACGTAACTTCAATACATAAGTCAGGTGATAAATCAAATGTTTGTAACTATAGACCTATATCTAAATTATCAGCTATTCCTAAAATGTTTGAAGCCATTATCACTAAAAAGTTATCAGTTTTAATGTCACAACAACTAGTTAGCAATCAACATGGTTTTAGACAAAAAAAATCAACGCTTACTAATCTTCTTTTATATCAATCAAAAATTATTTCTGCTTTTAATGAGGGGCAGCAAATTGATGCAATATACACAGATTTTCAAAAAGCATTTGACAAAGTAAACCATAAACTCTTATCATTAAAATTAGAATATTTTGGATTAAATGGCTCGTTTTTAAATTGGATTAAATCGTATTTGGTTAATCGGACACAAGTCGTAAAATTGCTCTCAGTTGTTTCAAATGATATTAAAGTACACTCTGGGGTGCCACAAGGTTCTCATTTAGGTCCTTTATTATTTATTTTATAAATTAATGACTTGCCTAGTATTTTTGATACCCCTATAAATATTTTATTGTTTGCTGATGATGCCAAAATATTTACAGTTATCAACTCAATGAGTAATTGTATTAAATTACAGTTAAACATTGAAAAACTATATGATTAGAGTGTTACAAATGAATTACCTCTGAACTTAAGCAAATGTAGAGTTATATCATTTTACCGTAAAAAAGATCCCATTTTCTTTAACTATAATTTGTGTAATTCCAGTTTAACCAGGGTTGATTTCATAAGTGATTTGGGAATAATTTTTGAGGATAATCTTTCTTTTACTAGACATATAAATTTGTCAGTCAGTAATGCTTTTAAGAGTTTGGGTTTTCTTAATAGAAATACTAAACATTTTAAAAACATAAATACTTTAAAATTGTTAAATTTTTCTCTTGTCAGATCAAAGCTTGAGTTTGGTTCTTTAGTTTGGTCCCCTAATTATGCTGTTTACATTAATTTATTAGAAAACGTTCAATACAAGTATACGAAATCTATCTGTTTTAAATTGAATATTAGTCTTTCTAGGGATTCATATTATTTACGTTCTA